GGGCCGGCTGCTCCGAGGACAACCTGGGGAAGGGGTGACAGCCGCAGCAAGGGACAGCCGCGGCAGGTGACAGCCGCGGCGAGCATAGTGTGCATGTGCTAGAAGATCATTTCTAGTACATGTACAGGATTTTCTCACTTGTGTGTGAACGTTAAATGCGGTTTCAGCGGGAGCTTCCCCTAAATGCGCAATTAAGGTAATTACGTGTGAAAACCATTTGCGGAATCAAGGTTTATTTTCGGTTTATTTTCGGAATTTGTCATTTCCAGTTTATTATCGCTTTGTGGCCCACGTGTGATAACGTCCTAGGATTCTATGAGTGCAGCATCTCATCTGAAGCAGGTTAAGGGTGGCTAGCACTTGGAAGGCAGTTGTGGTGGTTTACAATGTTGGCTTTGACGTAACAGCAGCCCTATGAAGGCGAGGGCTCCACCTCATCCTGTCCAGATCTTGGAAGCCTAGGATCCATCTGTAATGCAACCTCCCTCTTTTCCTACTGCCCTCTACTTGACCAAGCATCATTATCTGTCCCAATGAGTCCAATGCATTCAATCCTGCAGAGCTCCAGGGTCCACTCAGCCTTCCATCCTTTTGTCGGTCGGTGAAATGAGTCCCCAGCTTTTTGGGGCAATTGGCTTACAGATTGTGAACCGCTTAGAGCACTATAAAGCAGTATAGAAATGTAAGTGCTATTGCTACTGCTATGTTTCCTCATGGGATACCCAAAGTACAAAAGCCTCCATATGGTCATTTTGGTTTCTAGTGAGAGTTCATTACAAAAAGGAGAACACCAGGGAGTACCGGGTGCTGGGCTATATTCAAAGGAAACTAAATAAACCTTGCCAAGAAAACCCTTAGAGAGTAGTCTCCATACATGTGAGTCTACTTGAAGTCTTGAGAGCCAGTATGGCACAGTGCTTTGAGTGTTGGACTATGACTTTGGAGACCCGGGTTCAATTCCCAGCTCAGCCATGAAATCCATTGGGTGACCTTGGGCAAGTCACATACTCTCAGCCTCAGGGGAAGGCAATGACAAACCTCCTTTGAACAAATCTTGCCAAGAAAACCTCCTGACAGGGTCGCCACAAGTCAGAAACGCCTTGAAGGCATACAACAAGGACAGCTTGAAGTCATTATACAAATGGATGCAGGATGTAATACTTTGATAGCAAACAAAGTTCATAGGTCTCACCCATTGGAAGCTGGTGTCCTTTCATTGTTGACCATGTTCTTGTGTATTGCGGGGTCTCCATAATACAAAGATATTATACCCTTTGGGCTGACATTTTCATGCTGGCACTGTGCATTTCCCCTATAATGTGACTAGAGGGTGGTCTCAAGCATTGTGAGATGGCACTATGATATTAAAGTGGCATCAAACTGTAGTGTAGGTATGGTCATGGCTCCATCCTATGGCATCTTGGGATTTGTAGTTTGATGGTGAGATACAGTTTCTCCTTTCATATGACACAGTTGTAGACTATGATTGTTAGGATTTGACAATCAAAGTTCCTGCCAAGTGTGTTGGTCATTTAGGCTTGCCTGTTTTATTTCACATTACTGGATGATGGGATAGGTGATACTGGTGGTGCCAGGTGGAAGGGAATGGTTACCTGTCCTGGGATAGCTAATGAGCAGATGTGAAGGAGAGGTGAACCAAGGTCAGTTCCATAGGAAGGCCTGGCATCATCATCATCATCATCATCAAAGTTGGCCCTCCTTATCCACAGATTCTTTATCCATGGATTCAAGCATCCATGATTTTAAAATATTCAATCTATCTATCTATCTATCCATCCATCTATAAATTCTGAAAAGCAAACCTTGATTTTGCCATTTTATATATGGGACTCTATTTTTCTATCCATTGTATTTAATGGGACTTGAACATCCACGGATTATGGTATCTATGGAGGGTCTTGGAGCCAAACCACAGCAGATACCAAGGACCCACAGTATTATTACTATTATATTTATTTATATCCTGCCTTTCCCGAATATTGGGGAAACAAAGCAGCTTGCAAGGGAAAGCAATGGGGCAGTAGGAGAAAGGAAACATTTTGCTTTTATGATGAATGGGGTCTGAATGCACAAAAAGGTTTGCATTACTTGGTGCTTTTATTATATTGTGTAAGCAAATTATCTCAGTCCTAACAATAACACCATGCTGGGAACTTTGGCTTCTGAATAAAGCTTGCTGAGGGTTTTTTTTACTGAGGTTTTGGGGTTCCTGAATCAAAGACTGCCAGAATATGGCAATGATTCCACTTTAACAGCCATGGCGGCATCCCATGGACTTCTGGTATTTGCAATTTGATGGTGAAATATGTGACATCCTCTTCTAGAGAGTTCTTCTAGTTCTGTACTTCAGGTCTAAAACACACTGCAGAAATAATCCAGTTTGAGACCACTTTAACTACCCTAGGTCAGTGCGAGGGAATCCTGAGAATTGTAGTTTAGTGTGGCACCAGAGCTCTCTGACAGAGAAGTGGCTCACAAAACTACAGTTCCCAGAATTCCCTAGCATTGAGCCAGAGCAGTTAAAGCAGTCTCAAACTGGATTATTTCTGCAGTATGTTTTGGATCTTGGGGGACCTGTCACACAATACAATTCTAGCACTATGATTCTCCACTTTATTTGTCTCAAGGACATCCCGTGGAATCCTGGGATTTACAGTTTAGAGAGGGATACTTAGAGAGTTTTGATGCCCCACCGAACTACAAGCCCCAGAATTCCTTAGGATGCTTAGCAGTTAAAGTGGAATGATCGTGGTAAAACTGCAATGTGAAAGGGCCCCTGGTAGTGAAATCTTTATCCAAACATTTTGGATTTCCGCTCCCAGAAAACTCATGGGAATGGCTTAGAAATTCTGGGGGTTGAAACCCCAAACATCTGGAGGACCAGGATTTCAGAACTACTGGCCTAGAGCTCCCTAAGAGCAGCATCCCCTCCCCAAACTACAAATCCCAGGAACCCATAGAAAGGAGCCCTGACAATTGAATTGGAATCGTAGTGCTATCAACTGCAGTGTAGACACACTCCTAATCTACATCCCCAACCACAACCAAGTCCAGGTCCAAGCATTTGTTCGGGCTATTTCTTGCCTTCTTTACTTCCGTTCCTTCATTCTTCAATTCTCTCCCCTTTCAGAGATCATAAACTCTCCTTGGAATAGTGGTCTGACTTCTTTCTTTTTCTTATGCTCCAAAGCAAGAAATAACACCCATCCTGTGCCTGTTCTTCTTCACAGAGCTGGGAAAGGAGTCTTTTCAGCCATGAAGCTGGGCAAAGTGCGCCATCCCAAAGACGATCATCACAGGAAACAAGGTAAATATATGTTTAAATATGCATTTTTCCACCTCTGGTCTTTGCCTTGCACCAGTGACCTGCGAGGAGAACTTACCTGAAAGCCAACCCAAGGAAAAAGCATCCCCTGCATGAAAAGATTTGGGGCTGAAGAATTTCATTCAGCGCAGATTTTGATAAGAACATATCCACCTTTCCTTAAGTGCCATGCAGCTATTTGCTGATATTCTCACTTCTCAGAATTATTGTTGTTATGTGGTATCCTTGGAGGTCTTTAAGCAGAGGCTGGATGGCCATCTGTCCCAGGGGACGCTTTGATTGGGAGTTCCTGCATGGCAGGGGGTTGGACTGGATGGCCCTTGGGGTCTCTTCCAACTCTAGGATTCTATGATTCTATGATTCTATGATCAAGGTGGCATCAGCTCCAATATAAATGTCTGGAGTTGCAGTCTGCAACCTGTAGAAGTGGACCTTTGAGTATTAGACTTTTAGGCTTTTGAGGGTTGGGTATTCTTATATTCAAAGGTCCACTTCTATAGGGAGTACCGGCTGTCACTTCAGAAATTTCTGAGAATTGAATAGCCCCCGAAGAAGGCCAGTTGGTGATATGGCCAAAATGCATTGGACTTTTTATTTTTTTAAGAAATAAAAGTTTTTGACCATAAAAACTTGTTGACAAGTTGGAGTACATTCAGAGGAGGGGAAGAGAAATAGTGAAGGGTCTGGAAACCATAAATCCCTATGAGGAATGACTTAGGGAACTGGGTATGTTTAGCTTGGAGAAGAGACGGTTAAGATATGACAGGATAGTCCTGTTTAAATATTTGAAGGGATGTCATGTTGAGGATGGAGCAAGTTTGTTTTCTGCTGCTCCAGAGAATAGGAAAAGGAACAATGGATGGAAGCTCCAGGAAAAGAGATTCCACCTCAACATTAGGAGGAACTTGTTGACAGTAAGAGCTGGTTGAGAGTGGAAGACTCTCCCTTGGAGAGCAATGGAGTCTCCTTCTTTGGAGGTCTTTAAACAGATGCTGGATGGCCATCAGTTGCGGGTGCTTTGACAGTGAGTCCCTGCACAGCAGAGAGTTGGACTGGATGGCCCTTGGGGGCTCTTCCAACTCTATGTTTCTATGATCATGTGGGACTTTGTCTCCTTTCATTCTTACCCTTTGATTGGAGCCTATCAAGAGCCCCCTAGCCTTCAACTGTCATACTCAGGTCTTGCAAAGCTGCTGTGGCTTTATAGAAGCCTAGAGTTGGAAAAGATCCCTAGGGTCATCCAGTCTAACCCCCTTCTGCCATGCAGGAATGCACAATCCAAGCCCTCCCTGTGACAAATGGCCAACCAGCATCTGAAAACCTCCAAAGGAGGAGACTCCACCGCCCTCCGAGGCAGCAGCATCTCCCACTGTCAAAGAGCTCCCAACCTTAGGAAGTTCTTCCTAATGTTGGGGTGGAATCTCTTTTCCTCTAGCATAGAATCCTTGACTGAGTCAATCCACCTGTAGTACAGTCTTCCTCTTTCCTGAGAATCCTTGAAGCTTAGTGCTGGAAGGGTCCTCCAAAGGCCATCAAGTCCAACCTACTTCTCAGTGCAGGATCTCCAGCTGAAGCACTCCCAGCAGGTAACTGTCCAGCTTCTTTTTGAAGATCAACATCGAAGGAGACCCCACCACCTCTTTAGGCCAGGGGTAGGCAACCTTTCCCCTTTAAGGGCCGAGGGACTTCAGCTCCCAGAAGCCTCAGCCATGTTGGCCAATAGTCCCATGTTGGCCAATAGCTCCTGGGATTCTGGGAGCTGAAGTCCCTCGGCCCTTAAAGGGGAAAGGTTGCCTACCCCTGCTTTAGGCAATTGGGTCCATTGCCAAACCACTCTCACTGTCAAGAAGTTCCTCCTAATGTTCGATCGCAATTTGCCCTCCTGTAACTTCAAACCATTAGACCTGTTTCTACCCCCTGGGGCAGCAAAGAACAGGCCTATGTGAGAGGACAAATATTATTATTATTTATATTGAGTCATATCTTCTCATGATGTGACCAAAGTACAACTAATTATTTTGACTTCTAGGAAGAGTTCAGGCTTGGTTTGCTCTTGGAGCCATTTATTTGGCTCTGGTATCTTCAGATAGACATAAAGAAAACAAAAATAATGACCATGGAGGACCTTCACAATTGCAACCTGGACAATGAGGACATAGAAATCGTAGAAGAGTTCCTATACCTTGGAGCAAACATTGACCAGAATGGGGAATGCAGTCAAGAAATCAGAAGAAGACTATTATGAACGGGGAAGGCAACTATGAAACAACTAGAAAAGATCCTAAAGAGCAAAGAGATACACCTAAGCACGAAAGTTAGAATCGTATGAGCAATTGTATTCCCCATTACTATGTATGGATGCGAGAGAGGGACAGTTAAGGAAATGGAGAAAAAGAGAATACATTCATTGGAGATGAGGTGCTGGAGAAGAGTGCTGACAGCAAAAAGAACAAATAAAAGGGTCCTAGAACAGATCAAGGCTGAAATTTCCCTGGAGGCAAAAGATGACTAAACTGAGGCTGTCAATACTTTGGCCAAGTTCATAGAATCATAGAATCATAGAATCATAGAGTTGAAAGAGACC